AGGCTGTGGGAACAAACTAGATTGATATTTTTTATGTTTATATGTATTTATTTTATTTTATTGTTTATTTTATTATTATTATTTATATTTTTTTTTTTTTTTTTTTTTTTGAGACGGAGTCTTTGCCTCCTGGTGCCCCAGGTTGCGGGGAGGCTGCAGTGGCGCGATCTCGGCTCACTGCATAGGCCCTCCGCCCCCCCGGGTTCACGCCATTTCTGCCTCAGACCTCCCGAGTAGCTGGCGACTACAGGCGCCCGGCCCCCACCTCGGCCCCGGCTAATTATTCTTGGTGTTTTTATGGTGAGACGGGGTTCACTGCTGTTAGCCAGGAATGTTCTTCGCGATCTCCTGCTTTGACCTTCGGTGATCCCCGCCCGGTCTCGGCCCCCCCAACAAGTGCTGGGATACAGGCTTGGAGCCACCGGGCGCCCTGGCCATATTATTTTTTTTTTTGAGACGGAGTCTCGCGTCTGGTCGCCCGCAGGCTGCGAGCTGAGTGGCTGGCATCCTTCAGGCTCACTGCAAGGCTCCGGGCGCCTCCCGGAGGTTTTACGGCCATTCTCCTGCCTCAGCCCCTCCCGAGTAGCTTGGCGACTACGCCCCAGGTGGCCTGCCCGCCGCACCTCGCCCGGCTAGATTTTTGCTATTTTTTTTTAGTTAGAGGGAGGGGTTTCACTGGTGTTAGCCAGGGATGGTTTCTCGATCTCCTGACCTTCGGTGATCCGGCCGTCTCGCGCGCGCCTTTTCCCAAAGTGCTGGGATTTACAGGCTTTGAGGCCACCGCCACCCGCGACTATTTTTCATTTTATTTTTGAGTGACGGAGTTTCCCTCTTGATTCACCCAGGCCTGGGATGGAGTGCAGTTGCGGCTCAATCTTGGCTCACTGCAAACTCCACTTCCCAGGGTTTCAAGCGATTCTCTTGCCCCTCAGCCTTTCCTGAGTAGCTGGATTGCAGGCATGCCACCACCATGCCCAGCTAATTTTGTAATTTTATGTAGAGCGCAGATTTCACATGTTTGCGCAAGGCCGGCGTCTCGCGACTCCTAGCCTTCAGGGTGCATCCACCTGCCGTTGGTCTCCCAAAGTGCTGGGAACTTAACAGTCATACACCACGCCTGGTCCAAGTTTTTTTTTTTTTTTTTTTGAGACAGGCAGGTCTCTTTCTGTCACGCAGGCTGGAGTGCAATGTGTGCTATCTCGCAGCGACTTGCAGCCTCCCAACTCCTGGCTCAAGCGATCTCCTGCCTCAGGCTCCAAAGTGGAGAGACTAGCAGGCTGCACCACCACACTGGGCCTAATTTTATTTTTTGTAGAGATGTGTTGCCCAGGCTAGTCTTAAAACTCTGGGTCAAGCGATCCTCCTCTACCCTCCGCTTACCCCAACAGGTGGGGATTACAGCGTGAGCACTGCACCCAGCCAAGCTGCGGATAGAAATCAGGTGCCTGAGTTCGAATGTCTTCCTCTGTCCCTGGTGTCCTGGTGTACAACCGGGGCGTGTCATGACGCCCTCTGTGGCTTCCTTCGGTGTGTTTGGTTCATTTTATTTATTTTTGAGTAGAGTCGTCACTCTGTGGCTTGACGGCTGGAGTCGCAGTGGCATGATCTCTGCTCACTGCAACCTCCGCCTCCCGGGTTCAAGCAATTCTCCCTGCCCTCAGCGCTCCCAAATACTGAGACTACAGGCGTTCCGCCACCCATGGCTGGCCTAATTTTTTTGTAGTTTAGTAAGAGACGAGTTTCACTAATTTTGGTCAGGCTGGTCTCAAACTCCGACCTCAGGTGATCCGCCCACGCTTCGTTCTCTCAAAGTGCTGGAATACAGGCCGTTAGAGCCAGCTGCACCCAGACCATTTTATTTTTAAACTATTTATTAATTATCATGTTCTCTTTCATTTCCATTATCATCGTTTAATTTTAATTTAAAAACATTTAATTTAATATCATTGAATACACTTTTATTTTCTTTTATTTCTTTTAAGTTCTTTCTTCTCTTTTTTTTTTTTTTTTGAAGGAGTCTCACTCTGTGCTCAGGCTGGAGTGCAGTGCTTGTGATCTTGGCTCACTGCAGACCTCCGTCTCCTGGTTCAGTGATTCTTTTCTTTTTTTTTTTTGACGCGAGTCTCGCTCGTCACCGCAGGCTGGAGTGCAGTGGCCGGAATCTCAGCTCCCACTGCAAGCTCCCGCTCCCGGGTTCAGCATTCCTCCCGGCTCAGGCCTCCCGATAGCTGGACTAGCAGGCGGCCCGCCACGCCGGCTAGTTTTTGTTGTATTTCTTGAAAGAGACGGCGGTTTACACGTGTTAGCCAGCGATGGTCTCGATTCCGATCCTTCTGACCGGGCCCGTCTCCGCCTCCCAAAGTGGCTGGGTTCGAACAGGCTTGAGCCACCGTCCCCGGCCTCAAGTGATTCTTTTCTTATTGTTACGCAGCAAGCCTCGTTCCCGAGTCAGGTGGACTACAGCAGCCCACTACGCCACTGCCCAGTAATTTTTTTGTTTTGTTTAGGAGTAGACATGGGGTTTCACCCATATTGGCGAGCACCTGGTCTCAAACTCGTGACCTCAAGCTGATCCGCCCACCTCGGCTCCCAAAGAAGGTTGCCATACAGGCAATGGACCATTACAGACATGCGCTGTGCCCAATGTGTTATTTTTTTTTTTTTTAAGAGATGGGGTCTCACTGTGTTGTCCAGGACTGTCTCAAACTCGCTGGGCTCAAGAGATCCTCCTGGCCTGAGCCTCTCAAGTAGCTGGGACCACAGAAGTGCGATACTGTGCCTGGCTTATTTATTTATTTCATTTTTGTTGATTTTGAGCACGATAGAGAACATAAGATGTAGCTTTTGCGCAACTTTGCTCCAATATCACCTTCTCTGGGAAGCCTTCCCTGGCCACCCTCTTAAAAACTGCAGCCACCTCCCCTGCCCAGGATGCTTCAATTCCCTTTTCCTGTTTTGTCTGTCTTCGCGACACAAAACACACATTGTCACTTATTTATCTTGCTTCGTGTTCATCTCCCGTACTCAGCGGTCGGCTCCACGAGGGCAAGGATTTATGCCTACCCTATTCCCTGGCTGATTCCCCGGTGCCTGGAGCAGCGCCTGCTATCTAAATATGTGCTGAGTACACACGCTCCAAAGCAAAAGATCAAGGTCCAAGGGAAAGTGGGTCCTTGGAAAAGCAAGGGGTCACTGTGGCCGGGGAGAGCGGAGATTGGATGGGGAGGTAGTACTGGGGCCAAACTGTGATGAGGAGGGTCTGATAGGTGGCAATGCAGGGAGAAGCTATTCCATGGGGAGCAGACTAGGGCCTGGGCAAAGGCCTGGGCTGGAAAGCTTGTACGGGGAGCAGTGGGGAGGTCAGGACGCTAGGGGGCAGCAGAGAGGAAAGGAGAAGAGGTGGGCACTGGAATGAAAGGGAGGGTTTTCAGCCAAGCCCCAGGAGACAGAAGCCTGAAGTTGCGGGGGGCGTGTGTCCGGCATCTAGAGCCTCACACTCACCTCTGTCTTCTTAAATCGCGCCCTGAGAGTCTTCATGGTCGGTGCCCTGCGTTTCTCCTCTTCCCAGGCCACCTGAGGAAGGTCAAGGGTGGGGGTAAGGTGAGGGACACCAGTCCCGGTGGACGGCAGGGTCCCTTGCCTCTCCCTCCTCAAAAGGGCCACTTCCTCCTCCCTGACCAGTCCTGGCCCCCTAGAACAAGACACAGACCTGCTGTCTCTCCTACCTGCTGTGTGTCCTTTGGCAGGTTACTTGCCCTCTCTGTTTTTATTTCCCTCATCTATAAAATGACAGAAATGATTCTTTCTTGAGCAACTCATGGTCAGTTTTCAGTATGGTCCCAACATAGAGCCTGGCCAAACATGAGGGGCTCCATAAATGCATCTCGCTGGTATTTCCTGTTGTCCAAACAGATCAAGCCTTCTCTGGTCTAACTTTTCTCTCTGTGCAGTTATTTCTGCCTAGAATGGTTTCCTTTTTCTTCTCTGAACTCCTACTCATCCTTCAAAACCCAGTTACCAAAATCCCTTGCTCTGATCAGCTTTGCCTCTCGTTCCCAAGCAGAGATCTAACTCCCCAAATTGGGTTCCCGCCTATGCTGGCTGGGTCTCTTCCTCTGCCTCACCCCTGGCTCCATGGGCTGGAAGGGTCTGGGCTGATTCTGTCTTTTGCAACAGTCAGGGGCTCCCTGGGGACTGAAGCCAGGGCTGAGGGCTCTCAGCACAGAGGCCTGTTTGCTAGATAATCAGAGGGAACCTCCATGTGACAGCAATTCACCCATAGTGGGTGGAGGTCTGGGGCGATGGCTGCATGCATGTGTGTGACGTGAGCGTGGGGCATGTGCACGTCTGTCCACCTGGGCCTGTTCTATGTTCCGCATGTGCAGGCACGGAGGTCAGGCAGGACTATCTCGAGGGGGTGTGTTTTTTGAGGGGTGTGACTGTGAGGCCCTACGTCTGAAAGGGATCTCTGTGATGGAGAATCTGTATTTGCCTCTTACCAGGGAGTAGGGGTTGGGATGGCCTCTATCTGTCCACCTACCTACTTGTGAATTCTCCAAGCCACCCTTCCACCCAGTTACCACCTATGCACTCACCTGGGCATCCATCCTCCCACCTAAGCACTGTACACCCACCCACTGGCCACCACCCACAAACTCACCCACCCAATTTGTGTTCTCATGGTTCTTCATCACCCTTTATTCAGGCTTCACCCACACATCCATCCACCCGCCCAAACACCTACCAACTCCCACCATTCATCCATCCACTCATCTGCCCATCCATCCACCCAACCACCCATCCATCCATCCGCGCATCCATCCATCCATCCATCCATCCATCCATCCATCCATCCATCCATCCATCTACCCACCCACCTACCCATCCACTCATCCACTCATCCATCCACTTATCCATCCATCCATCCACCCACCCACCCACCAGTCCATCCATTCATCCACCCATCCATCCATGGATCCATGCATTGATCGATCGATCGATCCATCCATCCATCCATCTACCCATTCATCCATCTACCGAACCGCCGATCCATCTATTCGCCCCCCATCCATCTACCCACCCATCCATTCATTTACCCCTCCACCAGTACCCATTCACTCACTACCTACCCTTTCTTCTTCTACCTCTGACTGGAGGATTCAATCACACCCAAAGCAGGGGGTAATAAGACACCCAACAGAGGAGTTCACAGGCTGCTTGGGAGAAGACAGTCCGTGGGCTTGGGGGAGGGAAAAATGCCTGCTAAATTTAGGGAGCTGCTTGCTGGAAGAGGTGATGGTAAATAAGAAGGGCCTGATGGCCGGGTGGGATGTTGAGCACCCGCCTTGGAGGAAGTGAGGCAGGGCACAGGCCGGCAAGTGCGAAGTGCGTGGGTGAAGGAGTGCATGTGTGTGTCAGGGTACCCGGGTAGCTCTGAAGCCTGGCTGGGACCCAGCACAGCTTCTTTCTCCCACACACAAGGGCTCAGGGGCTTGGGGCCCTAAGGGGATCCTCCATCCTGGGCCTCTCCCACCTCCTTCCTCCCCTACCTCCTGCAGCTCCAGTGCCCCGAGCTCCCGGCCACAGTGCCCACTGCCGGCTCCGGTTACCCACTCCCAGCTGGGCCACGAGCAGCTCCAGCCGCTCCACTCTGACACCTGATCTGCTCTGAGCGGGCGGCCGCCCCAGGGGGCCGAGGATGAGCCGAGGGAGGAGACAGGCTGGCAGCGGACTGCCTGTTGGCCAACTGGCTCTGGCGGGAAGACACCCACGATCTTCCCTGTCATCACTGGACTGATTTCAGTTTCTGGAAGGAGCCATGCTCTTCCTCTCTTCTCAGCCTTTGCACTTGCTGTTCCCCTGACCAGGAACATTCTTTCTGTACTTCATGTCACCCCCAACCGGCTCTACCTGGCTCATGCACTCTTTAGATCTTTGCTGCAACATCTCCTCCTCCAGGAAGCCCTCCCGGATGCCCCCAGCCTGGGTCAGGTGCCTCCTGTGAGCTCCCTCATTGCCCTGTGCCCTCTTTGTCACCCATTGCACCCCAACCACAGCATGTCACCATTACCTGGTCACATGTTTGTGTCCACCCCCAGTCACCAGGGCATAGACGGTACCACCTTTGTTCAAAGTAGGTACTCAACACATGATTCTTAAATGAGTCCTCCAGGCCACCAGCCCCATTGACCTTGAGCAGGACCCGTCCTGCAGAACGCAGAACCTCCAGTTGGATGATACTCAAATCACCTGGCCGGGCGCAGTGGCTCAGGCCTGTAATCCCAGCACTTTAGGAGGCCGAGGCCGGCGGATCATCTGAGGTCAGGAGTTCGGGACCAGCCTGACTAACATGGTGAAACCCCGTCTCTACTAAAAAATACAAAAATTTGCTGGGCGTGGTGGCGGGCGCCTGTAATCCCAGCTACTAGGGAGGCTGAGGCAGGAGAATCGCTTGAACCTGAGAGGCGGAGGTTGCAGTGAACCGAGATCGCTCCACTGCACTCCAGCCTGGGCCACAGAGCGAAGCTCCCCCTCACAGAAAAAAAAAAAAAAAAAAAAAAAAGATACTCTGATAACTCTGAGTGGCATTCAAAACCGTTGGACTGGGGTCCCTGCTGTCCGGCTCCGTCCTTACGGAATTTACTAATCCGTAAAAGGGGTTGTGGGGGCATCGATAGCCTGTGTCCCTCATTTTAGAGGTGACTGGAGAACTGTCACGTAGGTGACCGCCCCAATTTCCCGCCCGGGTCATAGGGCAGCCTCTTCCCAAGCCGCGCGAACGCCTGCATGCAAAGAGCCAGGTTTCCTTCTGACAGCAGTTAACATGGCGCCTGCGGCGTCAGCACGAGGCGCATGCGCCTTGCTGTGGGAGGCCGGGTGCGCAGGACGAGAGCGCCGTTCCTCCTTCTTCCCCGCCCCGCCCCGCTTCCGGCGGAAGCGGCCTCAACAAGGGAAACTTTATTGTTCCCGTGGGGTAGGCGAGGATGTCGGTGAATTATGCGGCGGGGCTGTCGCCGTACGCGGACAAGGGCAAGTGCGGCCTCCCTGAGGTGAGCGCGTCCGAGGGTCCCGAGCTTCGCGCCCCGGGGCCGCGGGGCATTGTGGGAATATCAGGAGGCACTGAGGCTAGACCATGGGAGGGACTTCCCAGTGAGGAAGGGGCGGGAAGTGACGCCCCTGCGCGCCCGGGGACGCGAACACGCCCAACTCAGTGGCCAGCCTGTCCGGGCTGATGGGGGAGAGAGGGGATGTAGTTCCAGGAGGAGGGGACGACAGGCGCAAAGGCAGGGAGGTGGGAATAAACACATTTGGAGAACGATTAGGCCTGGGAGGTTTCCAGAGTTGGGCCAGGACGGAGCTCAAATGCCAGGCTGGGGAGTTGGTACTTTATCCTGAGGGTGATGGGGAACGGTTTTGCCCTGGGGAGGGGCCTGGACAGAATGTGCCAGAAAGATCCCTCCAGCCACTCGGAGGGGAAGTGGAGGGATCGGCTGCCCCCACCGCGCACTGTGGGACTTTGGGGAAGTCATTTTCCTTCTGGGTCTCCATCTCCATCCTTTCTGCAAACGAGGGGAAGATGGCCCCATTCCAAAAAGGCTGGCCCATGCATTCTGAATCATGCATTTAATGAGCGCCGATGGTATGCGCCTGTCCAGAAGCCCCACTCTTCATGCTGCTGTTAGTCACTTTATTTTATTATTATTATTATTATTATTTATTATTATTATTGAGACGGAGTTTCTGTGTCGCCCAGGCTGGAGTGCAGTGGCACAATCTCGGCTCACTGCAACCTCCCCCTCCCAGGTTCAAGTGATGCTCCTGCCTCAGCCTCCTCTGTAGAGTAGATGAGATTACAGGCACCTGCCACCACGCCCAGCTAATTTGTGTGTTTTTAGTAGAGGCGCGGTTTCACCATGTTGGCCAGTCTGGTCTCGAACTCTTGACCTCAAGTGATCCACCCACCTTGGCCTCCCAAAGTGCTGGGATTACAGGCATGAGCCACCACGCCCGGCCTGTTAGTCACTCTATTCTACCAACATTTATGGAGTACCTACTGTGGGTCAGGCACTTTCTAGGTACTAGGGCCACAGCCAGGAGCAAGACAGATTAAAAACCCCTCTTTCTAGTAAGACAGACTGACTAGGGGTTGCATGGAAACCAGGTGGCCAAGGGAGGCGTCACTGTCACTGAAGTGACATCTGAGCCACAAGTTACAGGAGGTGAGGGAGGGAGCCATGTGGGTATCTGGGGGAAGAGCATTAAAGGGTGTGGCCCTGAAGCAGGACTGTGCCTGGTGTGATGGAGGAACAGGGAGGAGACCTGTGTGGCTGGAGCAGAGTGAGGCGGGGAGAGGGAGGAGAAGAGGGCAGGGAGGGGGCAGGGGAGGTAGTGCAGGGCCTGGTGGGCTGTGGGGAGGGCTAGGGCTTTGACAAGGCAAGTGGGAGTCATGGAAGGTTGTAGGCAGAGGAGGGGCATGAGGACAAGCTGCCTTTTCCAATCCGTTTTCCTCCCTCAGGCAAGACAGGGACAGCTCAGTCTGTGGCTTGTGTGTGGCCTTGCCACTCGGGGAACTGTTTTGACGCCTCCATCTGCTCTCTCCCCCCACAGATCTTCGACCCCCCGGAGGAGCTGGAGCGGAAGGTGTGGGAGCTGGCGAGGCTGGTCCGGCAGTCTTCCAATGTGGTGTTCCACACGGGTGCCGGCATCAGCACTGCCTCTGGCATTCCCGACTTCAGGTCTGTGAGTGTGCAGGGGAATTCGAGGCAAAGCCCACCAGGCTGCCAGGGGCTTCCTTGCGAGCCATATACATCTGGGAATTAGAACCCATCCATCTGCTGTTCTCCTGGATGTGTCCTGGGTACTGGGGAGGGGCAACACCCCCTCCCTGTAAGATGTGTCCCTTGGCTGGGCGTGGGGGATCACAAGGTCAGGAGTTCCAGACCAGCCTGGCCAATGTGATGAATCCCTGTCTCTACTAAGAATACAAAAATTAGCCAGGTGTGGTGGCACACATCTGTAATCCCAGCTACTTGGGAGGCTGAGGCAGGAGAATCTCTTGAACCTGGGAGGTGGAGGCAGTGAGCCGAGATCGCACCACTGCACTCCAGCCTGGGCGACAGAGTGAGGCTCCGTCTAAAAACAAACAAAACAAAACGAAGATGTGTCCCTGTCACAACCAACATTCCACTCACCCCATTGGCCAGAACACGGTCGCCTGATCACATTTGGCTTCAAGGAATGCTGGGAAATGTAGTCTTTCACACATGCAAGTGTAGCCAGGCATGGTGGCGGGCACCTGTAATCCCAGCTACTTGGGAGGCCAAGGTGGGAGAATCGCTTGAACCCGGGAGGCGGAGTTCGCAGTTAGCCAAGATCGTGCCACTGCACTCCAGCCTGGGCGACAGAGCCAGACTCCATCTCAAAAAAAAAAAAAAAAGAATTCCAAGGCGTGAATTTCTACTCCTCCTCCTCTTCCATAACCTGCTGTGGCTTCCCATTGCCAGGCAGTGTAGAGTTCTGAACACCTTGTGCTGGAAGCTGAAACCCTTCCTGCCCCAGCCCTGAATCACCTCTCCAACTTCAGCCCCTCCTGCTCCTGCTGCAGCCCCCAAACACCTGCATTTCCCAGCTCTTCCCAGCACCCCGGCCTTTGTTTACCCCTTCTGTGTGATCTTCCCTCTCACCCTTCAAGAAACTGCTCAGCCTCCTCCAGGAAGCCCAGTCAAGCCTGGACCAAAAGAGATACCTGGGCCTGGAGAAGCCCAGGGCCCCCACCACCTCCACTGGGCTTCCCCAAGCCCGGGTACCTCCTCTGGTCCAGGCTTGACTCTTGGGGCCAGAGGGTCTGTGTCCACGTCTCCCCCAAGATCAAGGGCTTCTGGAGGGCAGGGCTTGGGTCCATGTGGGCATCGTCCAGGCTCATTGCAGCAGCAGCGCTGGTTGAATAGAACAAGTCATTTTTGCCTTGGTGTGAATTCATCTCTCTCTCTGCCTCTCCCTCTCTCTTTCTCTCTCCTATTCTGTCTCTGACTTGCTTTCTTTCTCTTTCACTCTTTACCTCTCTGTCTGTGTCTTGTTCTATCCCCCTCTCCTTGTTCTTCTGACTCACCCTCTATTTCTCTCTTTCTGATTCCCTCTCTCTGTCTCCCTGTCTCTCTCTGTCTCCCGATTTTCTCTCTCTCCAACTTTCTCTCTGTGCCTCCCTGATGCTCCCTCTGTCTCTTTTTCTGTTCCCCTCTGCCTGTCCATCTCTCCCGGCCTGCCACCTTCAGGGGTCCCCACGGAGTCTGGACCATGGAGGAGCGAGGCCTGGCCCCCAAGTTCGACACCACCTTTGAGAGCGCGCGGCCCACGCAGACCCACATGGCGCTGGTGCAGCTGGAACGCGTGGGCCTCCTTCGCTTCCTGGTCAGCCAGAACGTGGACGGGCTCCATGTGCGCTCAGGCTTCCCCAGGTAACACCCGGGCCCTGCGCCCCAGGAAAGCACTTGGGGCTCCACAAACCGTGTTTGCGTTTTTAGGGGAAAAGTCCCCTTTTCCTGGTTCTGTAAGATTCTAGCCCTGAGCTCTCTGGATCTTTCTTGGCCCAGTGTGTGGAGATTTCTGAGCCCCATGGCTCAGAGCTGTCCCCGCCCGGGCCAGAGGCAGAATTTCCCTTGGGATGGGGCCAAGTGGAGCAGGGCTGTCAGGGTCTAGAAGTTGCAGTTTGTTGTTGTTGTTGTTGTTCTTCTTGTTGTTTTTGAGACTGAGTTTCGCTCTTGTTGCCCAGGCTGGAGTGCAATGGCGTAATCTCGGCTCAGCCTCCCGAGTTCAAGCAATTCTCCTGCCTCAGCCTCCTGAGTAGCTGGGATTACAGGCAGGTGCCACCGCATCCAGCTAATTTTGTATTTTTAGTAGAGACGGGGTTTTTTTTGTTTGTTTGTTTGTTTGTTTTTGAGATAGAGTCTCGCTCTGTCGCCCAGGCTGGAGTGCAGTGGCGCGATCTCCACTGACTGCAAGCTCCGCCTCCCGGATTCACACCATTCTCCTGCCTCAGCCTCCCGAGTAGCTGGGACTACAGGCGCCCGCCACCTCGCCCGGCTAGGTTTTTTTTTGTATTTTTTAGTAGAGACGGGGTTTCACCATGTTAGCCAGGATGGTCTCGATCTCCTGACCTCGTGATCCGCCTGCCTCGGCCTCCCAAAGTGCTGGATTACAGGCGTGAGCCGCCGCGCCCGGCCTGTTGTGTTTTAAATTTCCATCTTTATTAATCTGACACTAAACGTGTCTGACACTGAAGTGAACCTGTGCTCTGGGGCAGACTGATTTCCTAATAAAGGTGTGGCCCTCCCCTGCCCCTCTTTGCCGGGTCTCACCCCTGAAGCAGCTGGTGACAGCCAGGTCAGTTGTTGAGACAAGGAGCTGGGCACCTATGAGTAAGGGGTGAGGAAGAGCTTTTTCTCTGCTTATAAAAGCAAAGGAGAGGCCGGGCACGGTGTCTCACATCTGTCATCCCAGCGCTTTGGGTGGCCAAGGAGGGTGGATCACGAGGTCAAGAGTTTGAGACCAGCCTGGCCAACATCATGAAACCCCATCTCTACTAAGAATGCAAAAATTAGCTGGGCGTCGTGGCACACACCTGTAATCTCAGCTATTCGGGAGGCTGAGTCAGGAGAATCGCTTGAACCCGGGAGGCAGAGGTTGCAGTGAGCCGAGATGGTGCCACTGCTGCAAGCTCCGCCTGCCCGGATTCACACCATTCTCCTGCCTCAGCCTCCCGAGTAGCTGGGACTACAGGCGCCGCCACCATCGCCCGGCTA